TAGCGATGTGGTCGATCTGAGTCCGTCTCTAACTCGAGGATGGTGGACGCCAAGTAGCGTGCCGGCAGTTGGAGCGTCTGAGGTTAGCTCTGGCGAGGAATAGGCGGTAGTCCGAGCACTTAGCCAACAGCCGTTCCCGTCTTCCGAGCGGCAGGAATCTAGTCCAAAAGAACCTCCCAGATGCACCTCACTCGAATTCAGCCGGCCTACTCTAGCATTCATATCTCCTGTTAAAATCACAATATCGGTGTCATAAACTGATCTGTTGCCCTGTTTCACATGGCACTTTATTAACTCGCCCTTTTCTTACATTGTAGTTTTTTACTACCATTGTTATAAAATTAATGTCTACATACGGACAGATTCCTCTTCGGCATTACTTCGCATCTTTCGAACATAACAATTTAATCTTCTAACAATAGAACGTCTCTTCCGCCCCGAACGCTTTGACGCTGATCCTCATTCTCCTACAGTAGCCGAGCAATGGATCCATTGGTAGGACACCTTCGACAATTTTCTTTCAACGGTAGAGATCCCCGACGTTGATAAAAGAAAACTTTTTATCAACTTCAGCAATTTATCGACAAGTTATCGACTGTTCCACTTACGAGGAGATGCTACGAAACCTAGAAGCTCTGTATATCAAACCGAAAAACGAAGTCTTTGCGCGCCATGTATTAGCAACAGCTAAACAAGAAAATGGACGCCCTATCGATCAGTTTATACCGAAACTACGCAGCCTCGCTGTTGATTGTAACTTCTTGTCCGTTTCTGCTGAAAAGCATCGCGACGAGGCTATCCGCGACGCCTTCATCACAGGACTAGTGTCTAACAGCATTCGCCAACAACTTTTGGAGAAGTATAATCTTGATATTCAATATGCATTCGAAGAATCTCGCATGTTGGAACATGCTCAGCTACAGTCACAACTCTGTGATTCAGCCTCCTACGTCCCATGCGGTCCTACATCCATGCAGTCAGATATAGCAGCTCCGGTTTCCGTACGAGATGCTTCGGAACCTCAAACCGAAGGACAGGAAGCAATCAGAGCAGTATCTACCCTCTGCTTTTTCTGTGAGCGACCAAGACACCCTCGCCCCAAATGTCCCGCCCTGGAAGCTATTTGTAATTCATGTGGGAAGAAGGGGTATTTCCAGAGGGTTTGCCGATCCAATCCTAAAACCAAACGCACAATTTCAGCAATAAATCGCAGCATCTCATCGCTTCGTTGTCATATACTGGGCTGTCTAAATCTACAGTGCTAGTTCACGTTAATGGAGTACCGATGTACGCGCTTATAGACACTAGTAGCTGCGAGAGTTACCTATCATCAGATATTCCGGCGAAACAAGTGGCCTGTGGAGCTAGAAGCACCATATACATGGCTTCGACGCGCGTATCTTGTATCACTTCTGGACATGTTTACGCCTCTGTACACCATAAAAACAATCTCTATGACGGAATTAAACTTTCCCTTTTAAAAAATCTGTGTACGCATGTAATTTTGGGTCACGATTTTCTCAGTCAACATAAAAGCATAGTTACTCCCTTTCATGGACACCGACCATCTCTCTTCCTATGTGCTTTCAAGGTATTTATCGCCCAATTGTGTTCCCCCTCGCCACCAAATCATGCCGTCACTCTCCCTCGGATCTGTCGCTCATTGAGATAGAAATGCTGAGATTATTGATCGACCATATTATCGAGCCTTCAGACTCACCCTGGTGAGCGCACGTCCTTGTGACTACAAATGAGAGACACAAGAAACACATGGTTGTCGACTACAGCCAAACAACAAATCTTTTCACTCATCTTGATGCATATCCTCTCCAAAAGGTTGACGAACTAGTAGAGAAAGTGTCTGACTACTCCCTCTTCAGTGCCTTCGATCTTCAAAGTGCTTACCATTAAATCCCCATTCGCGAAGAAGATAAACCTTATACAGCCTTTGAGGCATGCGGTAAATTGTATCAATTCCGCCGCCTTCCATTCAGATTTACGGATGGAGTGGCCTGCTTCCAACGCGTCATAGATAATATTGTCAGTGAAGAAGGCTTACGAGATAATTTTGCGTACGTCGACAATGTCACTGCGGCTGTAATGCTCAACAGCACAATACAAATCTCAAGAGCTTTCTGGAGGCTTCCAATAGACGTGGACTAATGTTCAACGAAAGTAAGAGTATCATTTCTGCCACCAAGATTCAACTCCTTGGATACGAAATCACACATGGGATGGTTAAACCTGACCCTGAACGATTTCGCGCTCTACGAGAGTTATCTGCACCTTTTGACATTCACTCACAGAGAAGAGTAGTCGGAATGTTGGCATATTATGCCCAGTGGATCCCTCATTTTCCTGAGAAAATCCACATTTAGGTAAACAACCGGACATTCCCACAACCCAGAGAAGTGCAGGATGCGTTGGAAAACATGAAAAAGAAATTGGAAAAACCCGCTGTGTTTACAATCGATTATAACCTTCCCTTGGTTGTCGAGACAGGCGCATCCGAAATTGCCAAGCTGCCTCGCTCAACAGGGACGGAAGGCCAGTGGCCTTTTTCTCTCGCACTTTATCTCCTAGTGAGCAACAGCATTCTGCTATCGAAAAAGAAGCTTGTGCCATTGTTGAATCTCTAAGAAAATGGAGACACTACTTAATCAACAGTCATTTCACTCTTATCACTGATCAACGTTCAGCAGCATTCATGTATGATAAACAACACAAGGGAAAAATGACAAAATCCAAAGGTGGCAACTGAAACTCTCGTGTTATCATTATGACATCCGATGACCAAAATGAAGCTGCTGATACACTTTCCTGGAACAACTGTCTCTCTGTTATGTCACTTGAAATATTTACATAATACACTCTCTCATCCCGGTATTACACGAATGTTACATTTGTTCATTCTAAAAATCAATCATTCTCACCGAATGACATCAAAGCCGTCAATAGTCAGTGTGCAACGTGTGCTGAACTTACTCCCCGTTTTCTCAAACGAAATTTTGGAAAAATCTTTAAAGCTAAACCACTATTTGAAAGAATCAGTAGTGACTTCAAGGGTCCACTTTCGTCCATATCTCCTGACGAAAATTCACGTTTTTCCTTTGCTTTTGCCTGTTCGGACGTTTCTTTGTCGACTGTCATCAAGTGTTTTAATCAATTATTTTCACTGCTTGAGTTACCTTCGTATATCCATTTCGGTCGCGGAGAATCCTTCATATCTGATGAGTTGCGAAGTTTTCTTGATACCAAAGGAATCGCTACCATCCGAAAGACCCCATATAATCCGCGCGGTAACGGACAGTTGGAGCCATTAAACGGCACTGTATGGCAAGCCATCACACTATTGCCGATGTCTCAACAATTGGACATCTCCCAGTGGAAAAGTGTACGTATGGATGCTCTGCATTCTGTCCGACGTATTCACCCGTACAACTTGCGGAACAGAGAGGCTTGAAATGAATCCCCATGCTCCACTAGTTTTCTGTTCTGTGGGGGAGAATGTCAAACTGATTTGTTACCCTATTTCACATAGAACTTTAATAACTTACCCGTTTCTTACATTGTAGCTTTTGTACTACGATTGCTAGAAGATTAAAGCCTATATACGGCCAGACTCCTCTTCTGCATTACTCCGCACCTTTCGAACATAACAATCAGCCAGACTCGCCTTAGGCAAGAGGTCGTGTAGATTATGGTAAAATTCATCTCTCACTGCATCTGGGCTGCAGTCCGTTGGGGCGTACACCGACAGCACAAACAAGTTTCGTTTATCGGGGTGACGGCTGTTTACTTTGCACGAACGACCAAATCTCACTGCGCACAACCTACTGTCGACTGGGAAGCCGTTCAGGAGCGCGGGTTCAACGCTCTCACTAAGAGCCATGCCGACTTTAGCAAGATGGGAAACCGCAGCCCCAGGATCCAGAGAAAGGCGCGGATGGGTTTGACGGGGACGTCAGTCGGATGCTGGAGCTAGAGTCTTGAATGCGAGTGTCTTTTATACAACCCACATCGTTAGCTAGGGTCTCGATGGTACGAGGTAAACATGTCTGTTATTCTATACGCATCCTGGTACACACGTTAAATTTGGCTAGTATGAACGGGTATCGAGGATGAAGAAGAGCTTCAGCTGCTGGAGACTTCGAGGAAACTTGGACGTTAGTCAATGACACGAGAGAACAACGGCAGAGTTTTCATCTGAGACGCTACTGTTCCCACAATCGTCTGAAGAACCCGCGAGAGGGGCTGTATTAGGAAGGTGAAGGTAAAATGTTTGAGGGTTTGGGGAGACATGAATGTGTACGGTGTGGAATGTTTCTCTCTGAGGAACGAAACTTGAGATTGGAGATACGTAAGATTCGAGAAACTCGTCATTAGATGCATTGTGGACTATTGTGCTACTCGGGCTCCCGGTTCAGAGTAGGCCTTGTTCGAGGGTGCACTCTAGCCTTTGCGCAACCAAGCACAGAATGCAAAGTAACAGTGATGTTCCAGACAATCCAGTGGCCAGTATTTATTCGTCTTTTCTGGAAAACCTTGCTGAGCAAAAGATTTTGACAAGGGGCAATGGCCATATTCAGTGGCGTGCTACACTTGCCACGTCACATCGTTGTCCACAGATGTGTGGTGTTTTGTGCAGAGTACCCTTGCTGGGAGGTAAATTCACCACATCCTCGAGTGCTGCCGCTGATCATCCACGACTGCTTATTCGGGGGGCCTAGACCCATCTTATTCACTATTAGACGTGAGATGACGGCCGTCCCCGTATCCGCGACCCGGGGGCGCGCTTAGCAGCATATAGCTCTGCTCTCCCGAGAATTCGAAGGCCCCGCCTCGTAGTATATTTCGTGCACTTGACTG